GATGTCTCTGTCTCTGTCTCTCTCTCTCTCTCTCTCTCTCTCTCTCTCTCTCTCTCTCTCTCTCTCTCTCTCTCTCTCTCAAGTTTGGCATCATCTGTGCAATCTCATTGGGGGTGGGTGGAGGGGGGGGGCACTGATGGCTCTTGCCACCCTTTGTTGTTTGTCTATCTTGATTATTTCCTAGCACAAAATGAATTATCTTGTCAATGTGCATCTCTTTACTCAAACATAAGCTGGCTGCTCCAGGCTCTTCGAGTTTGCTTGATTTTTTTTTTTTACTTCAAAGAAAATTATCAACTCATTTGGGATGGGGTTCCAAATTTTATATAATCAATGTGGGCTTAAATTTGTTTTACCTACAACAACTTGATTTTGCCCATACACAAACTATTAAGTTTTGGGAGGGGGGGATATAAATGGGACCTATTTAGATACAAGTCAGTTATCTTGTAGATAAGCGCTATTATGTTTTTGCTCTGGTTACTGCGTGTATTGATGATTATTATTACGAAGACAAGGACGATTATCCGGATGGTCTATTTCATCTTCAGTTAGCATAAGCCAAGGGGTCTTGGGTACAAATCTTATTGATATTTTAAGGATAAGTAAAGAAAGAATAGACATTCTGCTTGAGTTTTTAAAAAGACATTTTAGAAAACAAAGGAAATGAAACGCAAGACCCTGTAGCAAAGAAACCCAAACTATTGTTCAACTGACATAATGAATTTAAAAAATGAAAATGCTGCTTTGAAAGCAGTGATGAAAAGGGAAGCTATGATTTCTTTTTTTTTTTTTTTTTTTACTGTAGATAGGCAGGCCTAAATGTCACTGGGGCTAAAAATGTCACTGTGGACGATTCAAGAAGGGGGAGGGGGTGCAATTTCAGCCGAATCCTCCTTTGCTCTTTTACCTAAAACAGATGTGATGGTTGAGGATAAATGACTGAGTCAGTAAAACTGTAGTTATTGCCATTGGCTAATGGCAACATGTGCAGGGTTTATGTTCAAACCTTTGTATATCTTTACCATGAGAAAATTATTATGCAGGTTGTTGATGGCTTTGGGTTTGGGTCATGGTGGGAAGGGGTGGGGGGTGGGAATGTTGACCTTGTTTTCCTTCACCGCTGCCTCTACTGGTGTTAGCTCCTCTGTGTGTCCTTCAGTGATGAAGAAATGTCATCTTTTTTTACACTCTGGCCTTTTTTGCCCTTGTATGTTTTTGAGTGATTTTATGAAATCTTCCTTCGACAGAATTTGATGATCAAGTTTTTCATGAATGTTGATTTGAAAACTGTTATTTTTGCTTAGTCCTACTCAAGTCTGCAATCAGTTGTTGTTATGTTTGGGCGTTGCTGTCGATTAAGTCCAGACCTAGGTCTAATTGAGGCTTTTACCCGAATGAGTGTGCGGGGAAAGTTTGTCCATAAGGTGTTCCACTAGGTGGTTCAGTGCGACAGTCCACTGGGTGGTTCACATGAACTGATCACTGTGGTTCACATGAACTGATCACTGTGGTTCACTTAAATGGTTCACACTGTGTTGTTCACTTGAACTATCCAGTGCAATGTTCACTTAAACAGCCCATTATGTGGTTCACTTGAACAGCCCATTATGTGGTTCACTTGAACTATCCACTGTGCTGTTCACTTGAACCTATCAACTGTGCTGTTCACTTGAACTATCAACTGTGCTGTTCACTTGAACTATCCAGTGTAATGTTCACTTGTACTATCAACTATGTTGTTTACTTGAACTGTCCACTGAATTGGTCACGTAAACGCTCACTAGTTGATTCACGATAAATAATTCAGTGGACTGTTCAAGTGAATCATCCATGATGGCTCCAGTGTATTTCAGTGAGATTGGCGTAAACAGCCCACTGGATGGCTCATGTAGACGGTCTACTTGGCAGTATGCTTGAACAGTCCACTTGGTGGTGTACTAGGTGGTCCTAGTGATGGTGTACTAGGTGGTCCAAGTGATGGTGTACTAGGTGGTCCTAGTGATGGTGTACTAGGTGGTCCAAGTGATGGTGTACTAGGTGGTCCAAGTGATGGTGTTTGGTCTGTCCTGTAAGGTGATCCACTAGGTTTGTCCACTTAGACACTCCACTGGAAAAAAAACTTGTTCAGACAGGGGTCCACATGTAATAAGCTCTTGTAGAAGAAAAAAAACTGTACTAGATGGTAGACTTGGTCTGGAATCCATTATTTTAAATTGCCCTTGAAATTGTTTAATAAACCTTGCTTACAACAAACTAAAACATGTTTTCCTTGTAGGTTTATTTCATAGGATTCTAATCATTCCAATGTAATTCGTGGGTGGTTGGCGGGTGCTCTGGTGTGGTTTTCTCCTTCTTTCCTATCAAACAACTGTCTTCCTTATCTCCCCTGCTTCTTTCTGTGCTTGTTACTCTCTTGTAACACCTCTAATCTTCGGCACTTATATGACCTTATTTTGTGTTGTAAGTGCCGAAAAACACTTACTAAAACTAAAACTAAACCAATGTAATTCAGCGAATCTGGCTGGAAGTGCTTCTTGTCAGGGACTGAGTTTGCTCTGAAGGAATTATCATTATGAACAGTCAATGAGCTCTTGATGCACTGTTCACTGTCATAGACAGCACCTTCCAGCTCCAGCAAAGGAAGGGTTGAAGTCTATGAGTTACCTGCTGTGGCAGAGGGGGTTGATTTTTTTTTCAAGTCTCCTATGCCCCTGGTCATATAGGGCCAGGGTTTGAGTCTCCTTTAGATATGAGGTTTACTAAACTTGTGTGCTGAACAGGTGCGTATGCCCGGTTTCTGTAAGGACCTCTCTGTTGACATCCACCCCTTGGCGCTCATATGACCTTATGCAGTTGCGAGCGCCGTAAAACCTGTACTAAAGCTAAAACTAAAACATGCCCAGTTTTGTTGAAACGTGTTAGAAATACACATGTTGTTTTTATTTCAAACGTGACTTTGTTCTTTGTTACACATTCGCTATGCACAAGATCCATAAAATTCGTAATGTTTACGTGTGTGCGTTTATGGTGTATGTGTTTGTATATTTGCATGTGCTTTACGCGCGTGTGTGTGTGTGTGTGTGTGTGTGTGTGTGTGTGTGTGTGTGTGTTTATGGCGGATGTGTTTATACTTGTATGTGCATGTACATGTTTGTGTGCACCAGTGTGTGTGTGTGTTCGTGTGTGCGTGTATGTGCGCTTGTGTGTCTGTGAAAGAAGGGGGGAGAGTTCAGCACGCATTTTTGTTTGTCCACCCATCAAAATAGTCAAGAACATATCTCATATTTATTCCCACTTTGGGCAAAACGTAATTAAGTAATACGTTTTAAACGTGTGATCTCAAGATTTTAAAAGTGAATTTGGGTCTCTCGTGGTCTAGAAGTTCAGGTGTTCTTTTCTCATTCAATAGGTCCTAGGTTCAAAACCTGACAGCACTGGACATTTTTTGCTCTAAAGTTTAAAATGTTTTCCTTTCACCTCCTTTTCTGCTCTGTAACCATGTTCTGTCGTTTGCTTTCGTCTCCACTTTCTGCCCCTGCCCCTTCACCTCCTTTGCTCCCTCATTTATCTTTAAGTAGATTTTCGTAGCCAGCAGCCGATGCCATAAACATGACATGGCCTGGTTATTGGGCAGTAAAACGCCAAGGATGGGAAAGACACACACTCGCTGCGACAATGAGATGAGTCCTCCTGACCTTTTTGAGGTAGACATTTTTAAAAAATAGTAAATGTTTTACGGCACTCGCAACTCGCAACTGCATAAGGTCATATGAGCGCGCCTGACACATTTAACTTTTTCAGTTGGTAGCAAATTGTGAATTTTGCCCCGGTGGCCGCCGAAGCCTACTCTTATTGATTTTAGACCACCAAGGGATCTTTAACGAGAAGTTTCGCTCTTGTCCGAGAAGGCAAGGTGTAAATCTTTCCTCCCAGAAGATCAGGGGTGTGGATGAAAGACAGCAGTAAGAAGGAGCCAAGGAGTAGCAGTAGAAAGGCTACTGAAAGAGTCAGGAGCTCAGAGGAGTGGGCACAGGAGGTGAGGGTGGGGGCAAAAAGAGGAGACGAAAGCAGGCGACAGAACATTGCGAGAGAGCAGGAAAGGATGTGAAGGGAGATCATTTTAGATAAGAACATTTTTTCGGTCGCTACCCGGATTCGAACCCAGGACCTTTGAATGAGAGGCGAACACCTTAACCTCTAGGCCATGAGAGCCCCCTAATTAGTTTACCTAATCAGCGCTTATGACTGCTTATGAGAGTGGCCAAAAAAAGGTGTGAACAAAGTGTGTATGTGGTAATAAAACAGTTTCGAGTGCTGTGGACACTGCTCATTGGATATTTCGTGAAATCTTTTAAGAACGTCTTTTATTAAGGTTTTAAGGCCTACGCCTGTGGGTAAATTTGACTGCGACAATTTCCCTAAAATAAATTATTATTTTTATATTATATTACAACAATTTATAATGTAGATATGTTACCTTGGGGAAAAGCACTTTAGAACGAATTTTCCCATTTGGCTTTGTCCTATCGGAGATGGGCGTAACATTTGGAGATCCCGCCTCAAAAATGAACGTAAAGTGTTGTAAGAGGCATTAAAATTATGCAATGTTGTACGAGTGAACTCGTATAAATAGAACACCTGGCCAGATGTCCCTGAGACGACCGTTGAACTCGGATGCCTCACCTCTTAAGGGGGGGGGGCGCTACACCTGAAGGCTATCTCGCTTATTACTGGACCGAATTTTACCAAATTTCACACATATAACAAGCATACTAAGGAGTCTTAAAATCTGCAATCAAATGTGAGAAAAGGTTTCTTTTCCATGGATACCGCGGCCATGTTGGATTTTGTTGACATGTCTTTCGTATTTTACAAATTTTTAGTATTACATCTTCTCTTCATTCTGTGAAAATTTCATGAAGATTGGATGAAAAATGGTGGAGTTATTCAAAAAAGCATAGAGAAAAGTCGCGTTTTGAGAAAACCGATAAAGAAAAATAATATACTGACTTTATGAGGAAATGGCGGTGACAGACAAACATACCTGGTATGGGGGGAAAAAATACGGTTTTGGGGGTTCTTATGCGATGAAATAGTTGTCGGAAAGGCTGAGGAAGCTAAGAATGCCTACAACTCAAACTCAATAATTTTGGGCCGAATTTGGACTTTGGGGGTGTAGG